TGAACAGATCCTTGACCTTGTCGCGCCTGCCGCGATTCGGCACGAAGGGCTCGTACCGGTTCATCAGGACCTCGAGATCGGGGGAGTTGTGCTTGCGACCTCGAGGCGGTATGAAGGGGTCGTTCTCCTTGCTCAAATTGTCTGTAGATTACAAAGGAAATATGAATGGGCTTAAACTAATAAGCACCATATATCTAAAGTAACCTAAACTTAATAATCATATTTAAATATTGAATATTTAAGATATAAAGGGTACTATTGGAATATGTTTAAAACTAATAAGAACCTTACATATAAATTGTCCTGAATGTAAAAACAATTATTAAATATTATTTTTTAGACAAGGAAAGTCTTAAAATAATATCTAATTAAATATATTTAGGAGGGAAACTGGAATAGGTTAAAAAGTAATAAGTAATAGTTAAAGGTATGTAGGGTAACCTTTTTTTAGAAGATGAATCTCAATGAAAAACAGATTTCCAAGAGATACTAACTAGAATCGTTCCACTCACCTCCAAGTTGATAGCCATCGAAGAGCTTCTCCCTCCTCACCAGCACATATTGAGGCTCGTCCACAATGAGCGGGGGTTCCAGATGACCTGACAGGTTCAGCTTCTTCCAGAGGAACATCCCAGGATGGTAGGTCTCGGCAGCCCCATCACTCAGATTGCCCAGGGGACGTTGCAGGGGATAGAGCAGCTGCATGGCCCAGTGCAGGAACTTGATGAGATCCTGCTCGCCAGTGAGTAGCATGAAGACCTCATTGTTGCCCTGCTCCTCGTCGTCATCCACATCCTCCTCGGAATCGGAGGAGTTCACCTCGGAGTCGGAATCCTGCATCGAACTCAGCTGCAAGTGGAGGCGGGCCAGGGCCTCTTTGTTCCTGATGAGGGGATGTACATAAAGGTTTACGGTTTCTATAGTCTGATTAATGCCCCATCATTTGTTCGCTTTAAGGAGCAGCGCATTTTCACATTTTTCTTTTTGGTCATGAGCGTGGGTTGCGGCCATGGGTTTCAATTACCCTTCTTGGCCAGAGTTTCTCTTTTCAGAAAAAAAACACAACAGACGACACCAAATTGATGAACTTCTTTTTCCCACTCACACATGTGACCCAGAAACGCCCAAACTCTTCGCTTATCCAAAGGCTGTCAGGGCTGATCCAATTCAATCATAAGTCAATTTGAGGCAATTCAACCGAAATTACTGTGTAAAATTACAAATTAGGCGAACAGCAACAATCGAAAGTTATGCGGGCCCGTGGTTAATTAATCAAACATTTAACAAATCAACATAGCCAAACACAAGCGAACAAAAAATAATAATCATAAGGCCCCAGCCCTGAGATGATTAATTCGATTTTAATAGCAGCGCCCAATAATTTTTCAACACAAGATAATATTCCGCGTAAATTACAAGGCGCAGAAAAAAAAGAAATGTTTTAAATAAAACAAAAGCTGAGCGAAAGAAAAATATTTCTCACTCGCCGGAATGAAAAGTGAAACTCGTAATGCAGTTTTCGTTTCGATTTCGTTTCGGGGCAATGAATTTGCTGACAGTTGTTATTTTATAAAATAAATCAACATACGGTGCGGCGGTCTCCAGGCTCTGACTTGAAACAAAACTGCAATCGTCGGTACTGATTTTTTCACGCCCATTAATTGGTTTTGCGTGTTCCGAGTCGACAGCCAAATTGTCGACGATTTGTTGCCGCTCTTGTGGGTTAACGTTAACCATTTTTTTCGGCAAAGCCTGGCGCCCTGGAAAGGGTTAGCATTAACCCTCTAAAAGCCAGGGGATTCGGTTTCAAGAAAAAAAATGTAAGTGGAAAGCAACTAAAAAGAAAAACAGGCTCCAAAAAATTGCTGTTGTGATGAGAAAGAAAAATAATTAAGTGAAATCCGACCAAAACGATTATTTAATGCGAAGAATTGGAATTCCTAATCCTCAAAATATATTTTTGTTCCTAGCTAATTTCATTTTCAAGCACTTGAGTAAATAATAAGAGAATTAACACAGATCCCAAAGTACTTAAGCTACTGTTTCCAATTTGTCCGCCAATATTCTAGCTATATTAAAGATATTTGCTGAGAAATGATATTGCAATTAGAAAATGATTACAGGGTAAATTAAGAAGTAAGACCCAAGGACTTATGCAAACATAAATCTTTAGCTTTTTACCTTCCTGAACTCAATGGGTTAAGCCGGTACTTTAGCTGCCAAATTGGTTTACATGTGAGGCGGAAGCGAGGAGCTCAACTTTCTCGACTTTCCTTCTGTGCAGCCTTGAACCTGCTGGCCAATCTCAGACCGCCACTTTGCCACCCACATCCTGGACTTCTTACCTGGCCGCCAGCATGGTGCGATAGTACTCCTGCGGACACTTGGTGGATGCACCGGCTCGTCCCTGGCAACGATTGCCCCAATACCGGTGAGGGGGCGTGGCCCGATAGTGGTTGGGTCCCAATCCGAGTCCCAGTCCCATTCTCATGGCAATTTCCTGCGGCGCTGATTGCCTGGCCCCTAAATCATCTGTGTTTCGATTAAAATCCTCAGACTGCCGCGGTGCCGTCTGCTCCACATCGGTCAGGCTGAATTTTCCTGCATCCGAATCCGAGTTGGGATCCGAATCCATGGGGCTGTTGTGGAGCATATCGCGCAGGGCATCGGTGGGGCTGTCAAACAGGACGCGTGCATCCTTTTTCTGCTGCTGTTGGTATTGTTGTTGGTGTGGCTGGTGCTGCTGGTGGCTCAAGGCCGCCTTCGTGGCCGTGGCGATAAGCGATGGTGGCAAAGATAGGACCACATTGCCATGGCCATGGCCACCGCCGCAATAAATCGCCAGGCAGACGCTGAGCCAGGCCAACGTGAGTCTCATGCTGTCTGCCGCTTGGATCGCTGGACCGACTTGGACTTACAAACTCCAGACTTCAGACTCCAGACTCCAGGCTGCAGACTCCAGACTTGTGCCTCAAAGTTGTTCCAATTTTTTAGTTCACTCCTGCCTCGTCGGCCACTTTGAAGAAGCCAAGTAAGCCAGTTAGCCAGTTGCCAGCCAGCGGCATCCGCTGCGTTTTGGCTCTTAGAAAAACGCAGAGACTGAAACTGAAAGTTGCGGGCCAGCGGTCCAGCTTTTTATAGCTCGAGATGCGGCCAAAGGAGCGGCCCGCGGAGTTTTGGGAATACGCCTGCTGGTCGCGGTCCAGAGACCCTTGGTCACATATGAGAACACTCGGAGAAATGGTCACAAAATCATAGACGGCTTTACAAGTGGTTAACTTTCAAGGAACCACAATTTTTGAGCGAGAGATTACCATTTCTAGAAGGCTTTATTTATAATAGATTTTTCTATGATGAACTAGAATAGCATTAAATTTGAAATCATGTTTAAGGTTAGCATTTTTCTTATCCTAGTTTAATCATATCAAAGTTTAACTGAACTTCTAGAAAAATTCCATCAGTCGTTTGAAAAACAAAATAGGGCATTACCCTTTAGAGCACTTAAATTTAGGTCTACAATTTCTAAATAAATTAAACTTTCCTTAAAACCCTTCTCGATATGATATGTTAAGATTACTAAAAATTATTAAAATGGTAAAATAAATATTAGAACCTTTACAATTCTTTGCCTCAGTGCCTGTTTGATTCCAAGCAATGCCAATTGTTTATCCAGCGCGTCGTAGCATGAAATTAATAAAAAGAAATTGCATTGTATGGCGACGAACTGGGAAATAAGGTGGCCCACTTGAGATGGCCCCAGGAAAACTCTCGTACGTCATAAGTTCGCTTTGAAAATAGCAAACCAGTGGGCCAAACTCGATTGGTGTCCGACTTTGTTTGCCTAACCTGTGACCCCAGAGCCGCCCTCACAAATTAGCCAGCCAACTTCTTGCACTACCTGAGAGCCCCGGCGATAAAATCATGGAGTTCGCGGCTTTCTTTCAAGCCCCCAGAAGCAATAGACTACCTCTGAGAATTTATTGCCTGCTAATGTTCGATCGCATTTGTCTGAGGGCTGCCCTTCTGGTTAAAGCAGCCACAGAAAAAAAGGAAAAAAAAGAACAAGGGCCCGCAAACCAAGAAAAAATACAATTGTTGAGTAATGAGCACTGCACGTTATTAATGTCACTGGGGAATCGGGAATTGGGGATCGGGCAGAAGAAGGGCTTCGAAAGAAGGGTTTCAGGGTTTCAGGGTTTCTGGGGACCCAAGACCAGTTCTGGGTCTCGAACCACGATTTTTAATTAAGTAATTCGCTGACTTTGTTAGCCCTGTGGGCTCCATCTGTCTCAGATCTTCCCTGGCGACCATTCGCAGTTCTCTGCCCGTGATTTCTGTTTTCAGTTTTTGGTCTCCTCTTTTTTGTTGTGTTTAATCTGGCTAACAAATTGCTTCATTTCAATTTATTTGCATTCGAGTCGTGTTCCGCTGGGAGTTCGTGGCTGCAGTTTTCTGTTTCCCGATCCGAGTGTGGAAAGGAAAACCTTTCTGCCTCCGCGGTCGTGTTCTAATTTATTTGTCTTTGATTGTGCCCATGTCTCCATCTCCACCGGGTTGTCTTGGTCGTGTCCTGGTCCTGGTACTGGTCCTGGGCTTTCTTTTTGTCCCGTCCCTGTTTGCGGGGCAAATTAAGCAAACATACATCATAGTCGGGGGCCATTAGAAGAGGCTATTTGTGGATGGGAATGTGGCGCTCTGGGCGCGATTAATAGACCATTGCCTTGATATATGTGCGCAATTAGAGCGCTAATCAAAACCTAATCTCCACGGCAGGAAGGAATTTATGGGTCTTCTATGGAGGGAAAGAAAATTGCGAAGAAATGGGGAAGCAAGTTTTGATTTTATATCATTATAAAACTAAAAGAAGAGCTGTGACAAATAAATATGTGGTGTTAATACCTTTTTCAGAGTATTTATTTCAAGGTTTTTGGGCATTTTGACCATTAACAGACATATTTTCTCTAAGTGCACCCAACTAACAACTGCCATTCTAATTGCAGCGGGAAATCAACGAGGTCTTCGAGCTGCGCAAGGTCCAGCGTTTGGAGCAGCAGCTCCGTGAGCAACTGGAGGAGCGGCTATCGCAGTCGGGAGTCCAGCAGCTTGATGAATTGTCTCGTTCCACGGAATCAGATAGCGGCTTTGACAGCAGCAGCACCACAGCCACATTGGGCACACCAGCTGGAGCTGGAACTGGAGGAGCTGGAGGAGCTGGGGCAGCAGGAGCAGTTACAACGGGCAAGCCAGTGACAACTAAACTTAGGGCCCTGCCTCCGCCGCCCTCAGTCCCACCAAGACCCGACGAAATCCCTAACCACTCCACCTGTCCAGGCGGACGATGTTAACATTTGGGCCTGCAAGTTCCTACGCGATCTGGACAGCCTGATGGCCTCGGGCGATAAGCTGCCCCCGCATCTGGCAGCCCTGGCCGAAGGATCCGGTTCCGGTTCGGCCAGCAGTTCGCCCACCTCCAGGACGGCGCCCCTCCTCCTGTCCGCCGCCGCCTCGGCGGCCATCCAGAGTCGCTACGGCAAGGGCTCATCCATCATGGAGCACCAGCTTCAGCAACAGCAGCAGCAGAACGGACTCGTCTTGAAACCGGAGAAACACGTGAGTACACAGCAAGAAAAACCATTCTGCAAAGATCGAATTAAAGAAAAAATTGTTGAGGGATATCATATTTAGAAATTTTTTTAATTATCCAAGATATAAAACCCTCCAAAGAAGGTATATACATTCATAAAGAAGGTTAACCCCCAGTGTGTGCATATGCTCTGCAGCTTAGGCTGAGATTTCCTAATCTAAAATCTCTGAAATTCCCCTGCAATCTCCGGCTGCCTTGATTTCGACATGCGAGCGAACAAACAGCGAAGCATACTTTATGAATGTGGGTTAGATAAAATGCGCCCAAGACAAAGGCATCTAATCGGAATCACAACAATGTTGTCAACACACCGGGCCGCAACCAAATTTGGGGGCCCACACACACAGTTTGCCTCTCGCCACCCCAAAAAAAGGCCTGGCCTCACCCCCAAAATTCGGTGAGCAAGGAATGTTCTTTCAAGAACTGCCATATGTTCCATCCATCCATCCAACAATCATCCATTTGCCGGATGCGCAACTGAAGCGCGTGAAATTTATGGGCATCAGAATAGAGGAGTTGGAGATGGGCAGGAAGATGAAATGGGGGCTGGAAATGGGTCCGTTGATAGACAGTCGTCACTCGGTGGCTGGCACTTGAACGAGTTAAACTTTGAACTGTTTGAATAAGACAGAGGGCCAAGTTTTATGGGAGTTGCATTTTTCGGGGGCTTTGCATCGCCATAAAATGTGTAATAAAATACTCTAATTAGTGCAGTTCTTCTGGCTCAGATTGAAAGACAATTAGGGATTGATTGCCGGGCAAAGAGTCGTAAAAGATTTTCTAATTGCAATCAGTGTGCTGCGGAGGAAAGACCAAAGTTCAGAGAGATGCTGGAGAGTAACCCTGGAAATTAAGTGAGGAAATATATTTTTGGCTAAGCCATTAAGGGTTTTCCAAACACCATTTCTTTTCATTGGATTCCCTAATTTCTAACTATATTTTCGGTATGACTTTTTTCCGAGTGCTTGGCATTTAGTCCAAGAAAAGTGGCTGCAATCTTTGGCCAACTCACCCAGCTGACCCACTTTGTGCAGTCGTGGCCCATAAACCATAAGCCCGAAACAGACTAACCAACTTGTTAGCTGTCTCTGGCTTATCAAGCCGAATATATCTAATTAAAACATTTATAAGCCAAAACGACTCATAAACGGCACTGGGCTTGCGGTCTGGTCTCCGGCTCCCGGTTGCATATGGTTAGGATACATTGCGCTCACCTCTCGGGTCTCCGATTATCGGGGGAAAAACCTCAAAAAGGCAGCAGCGACTTGCTGCAACAAGGCAAATATTAATTTTCAAAACGCGTGCCATGCCAGTGGAAAAACACGACATCAACACCGAAAACGAAAATGAAAACCGAAAACCCACAAAAAAACCCGGGGAGTGGATGGTATTGGGGTGGGGGAAAAGGGCTCCATTGTTCATATGGCGTGGCTGTTGACAAGTCGAAATCTTTGCTACCAATCGATAGTAACCTCAGTTTCAGCATTTTGCAGAGCCAAGTCTGCTGGGCCATTTCCTTTTCTCCCGTTCTAGTTGCAAAACGAAAGGCACAGGAAATAATGTTGCCTGGATCTGTTTTTGCCAAATACAGCTAAGGTCATAATAATAGATAAGTAATAAATAAATATTATAAACAATTTTTCTGTTAAGTTCAAATAAAACTTATAGTAGTACATACCAGGGACATCAAGTATACAATTATTAGGACTTTGATGAAATACATTTCTTGATTTCATCTCTACTCAAAATAGCAAAATCCTATATTCATATATTCTCTTTTAATGAAAATCAAAAAAATATGTATTTAGGAATAAATTAAGAAAGAGATTATATTTCTTTAACCGGAACTGTTTTTACTTCTTTGACATCCGCCTGCAAATAGTTTTCGAATTTTTGGGTGCTGTCAGGGAAAAGGTACCGGTCCCCGGAGCTGTCATATTTTGCCTTAATCGCCCCGGTAAAAGTGCCAATTAAAAGCGCTTAAGCCCACTGCACTAATTAAGGCAAAGAATGTGGTCGACTTGCCAGCTGAGCGATACACTCATTCGGTCAATCAGTCAGTGAGACAGTGGGACTGAGGGCCATGATTTATGAGCTACCGACGGCAGCATAAATCAAAGGCTACATCGCATCGGCCTTTTGTATCGAGGGCACAAGTGCGTGCCCGGCTTGCCAAAAATCGGCTGGACAAACTGTCAATGAAAGTAAAACAGCAGTAGAAGTTTCTCAGTTTTTTCTGCCCTTTTCAGCTTTTTGTTTCGTTTGGATTGGTTTGGTTTTCGCTCGAAAGGCGCAGGAGTGGAGTGAACTGGGTCAACATGCCGCCCTGCAGCAAGATCAGAAAAGCCAGAGACCTCTGCAGAACACTTCACTTCACTTTTGCCGGGGCTGTCAACACGGCAGCAGACCGAGCGGAACCCAAAACGCCCCAATTTAGTTGGCTGCTATGTTTATGGGGATCGTATCGGGGCCCGGGCCCAGGCCCAGTGTTTCTCCCTGCGAAAGTGAATCTTGTGCAGCATGCTTGTTGCATGCGTGTGGCAGGGGGCATCATCGGCCAACGCAATGCGCTTAATGATGATGAACCATGCAGATGCAGCAGATGTGGAAGATGCAGAAAATGCTGGCCAGCACTGAGCGTAAAATATGAAAGAAAATCGATTTTGAAGAAAAAAAGAAGAATCAAATAACAGAAGTAGAATATTTCTGTTATCATGTGAGTTTAAGTAGATATTACCGGTTTTTTATTTGATGAGAGTATTTTAGGTATATGTTTTTAATAATTATTAAGAATGATATAATAGTTATGCGTTGTGAAGAGTTTGAGTATTTTATTCTATGATCCAAAATGTTTCGAAAATGTTTATATCACTGGATAAAAAGTATTTAAACCAGTAAAATGATATTATATCTGATATTAGAAAGGACATATTGCTTAGAAAATGATTACAAATATTTAAAATATTAGGAATCCGATTTTGAGTGATGTCTTTAGGCAAAATAATATCCTTATAAGATAATCATTATATCTGAGGTTAACTTGTTTTTAATGATTGTTCTCAGATAAATATAACAGATCTTAGAAATAATTATTATCATTGAATAGTTAGTAGTAAAAAGGAGGAATAATGATTATTTGGCATACCGCTGATAAGAATGGTTAATTCTCCTTGTGTAGGCCTTACAAGGCTGTCCAGACAAAAGACCGCGACACACAAAAAGCTTTTCACGCAGCTCAACGAGCCCCAGACACTTTGACTTAAGTAGAACTTGCAAATCACTGCAAGGCAAACAAACACGACGGCCAACAGAAACCAGGGAAGAGTATAGGGGATAGTGATCAGTGATCGGGGAACAGGGAACAGGGAACAATGTCCGGAGGAGGACGATGGGCTGGGCAGGCGTTTAAGTGTTTTGATTTGATAATTATTATCAGTGCGCATGCGTGACCGGGCAGCTCGTCCGGCCAACTCAGTCACTCATTTGCCGTGGCAGTCAGGGGCATGTCCAATCGATTTGCGATAGTCTGCCCCAGCATGATCGGGCGTACTTTAATACTTATGTTGTGCACTCGAGGACCGGCACTTTCTGGGTCACATATCAATAAAAGTGGAGCGCTGAGGCGTTGCCCAGTGCATTTGTCATTCTGATATCGAAACCAGTAAACAATCGCTGTATATACATATATGTATATTTATTTTTTTAGATTTCTTGCGACCCGTTTTTATGATCAATTAGGAGCATTTACAGTTCCTCCCCCCGGGAATTCTTGATAACCCCAGGCCTAACCTAGGGGAAAAGCAATTTTATGTGTCATTTGTGTTCATTTTATTGCATTTTTCATTAACTAACCGAAGAAACATTTCATTTATTTTCCATTCCATTTCCAAATCGTCTCGTTCTTCGGCAATGTTGTGAGAAATGTTCAATTTTATGACATTTAAATAAGTCTTTGTCAGCGTTTCGGATATCGGATTCTACTGCCGGTCATAAAACTGATTTGAATTTTCTTTCTCCAGCCGTAAAATGCTTAAATTTCAATCAAAAACACAAGCCAGCGAGTGAGAGAGAATCATTGGGAATTGCTTACATAGTAAAACAGATTGGGCATTAAGAATTTTCTATTCATTACATTTTGGGTGCCTTGATAAAATCGCTAAATTAATCGAGTGTGCGCGGCAAGATACACAGATGATCTCCAGACGATAACTAGCCGTAAAATGGTGAAAAGTTTTCATTACCCGGCAGTTGGGGTCAGTCGAAATCGATCGGAGTCGGCGCCCGGCTGCCTATAAATGGCCATATGTTCGATTCTTGGCCATGCCCATAAACGCCATTGATCTGGACGCCCAATTAATGCGTCGCCGGCGAGAGTTGGCGGCTCATTAACACGCAGTTCGCTCAGATGGCATCGCCTTGGTCTTTATTAATAATTCATAGACGTGGCCCCGTAACAGGCGCTCGAGACTGCTCCATAATGCATTACAAATTTGATTTCGAAGCGGCAGCAGATGTGTGCTGGGTCTCCCAAAGGACCCCCCGACTGGCGGACCGCATCCGCATCCTGTGACCATTTTTAGACGGGCGTCGTCTGGTCCGGAGTCGAAGATTGCACTCGATTAGGGGGATATGTGCAGCTGGCAAGTGGAAAATTTGTTTGCTTTTAATTCGTTTATTATTTGTTTTTGCTCTGCGAAAATTTCATGTCACTCAGACACACAGTTTCCTGAATAATGAGGTTTTTTATTATATGGGTTCTAAAAACTAAAACATTTTTTATAATTTTATAAATATTTTGTTGATATGCCATCTCTGATTTCAACTCTTATCACAAAAGAACTCCCCTCTTAACTCGAAAAAAGTTCCCCGTGAATTCCTAAATGCCTACTCAATATTTATTTTAAGCGCTTGTAATTTC